GTTATGATACATAAATATCTTTGAACTTTGAAAATACTTACCAATCTTATCTGCTACATTGCCATGAGCTCTGGTTATGATCTCTAGATTCTCTCCATCCCCAACACATTCCAGGATCATAGCACAATACCGTGTTGTCAATATGAAGAGCAAGTCTTTTGATTCATTCTGCAACAATTTGAAAATCACATAAGTTATGCTTTTATCACTATTGACATACAAGTTCATCATAAATTCTCTAAAAAATTTAATTTTCTATAGCCAACAGGGATACATTACCATAGGTGTAAAAAGGTTCATGCAGGCAATCTTGCCATAGATGGTGAGTTCTTTTAGAGGCCTTAATCCTTCAGGTGTAACCAGGTGGAGTTCCACTCTGTTGTTCCGAGCTACGACCAAGTTCAGGTCGGTTGGCGAAGTCAGGTGTCCTGTAAATACCAAAGAAAACAAAATGTTACAATATTAATCAACATCTATACATGCCATGGTGAGGATGAGCCCAAATTGTGGATGGCAACTACACATGCCATGACAATGGCAGCTGCTCTATATTCTGTACACCATACAGGCATGAAGTATTATGGCTCTAGCAGCATTGCTTCTTGAATGAAAGGCTTTCAAAGTCAGCCTGAACCCTCTTTTAATATGCTCTTATTGAAAAACAATAATAAGCTTGTCTGGATTTGAATATAATGGGGGTAATATTCTCCCCACACTTTTGAGTCGTGCATATAACCATAAAATTAACCCAAACATTGCAGCCAGTCTTCCAATTTCATTGCCATGAAGATGACAATACTACCTTTTCCAAGTGAATGGTCCATTTAAAAGACTTTTCCATTAAATGTTTAAGTGAGAGAACCAAGAAAGATTTTTGTGAGCTTTTGGTGTTCTAGGAGCACATTTTCATGCCTTGATTCTGCTAGACCAATGTACAGCAGTGCATAGGCAACAATTCTTAACCAATCAGAGAAAAAGTCTTCTGGTGATTAGTCCAATAAAATTGCACTAATTAATAATAACTAAATAATTGTGAAAGAACCTACAGTAATTAAACAATTGCCACACAACAAATTGAGGAAACAAGTGATTGCCAGTGGTAGTTAGTCATGGAACAAGCTATTACATAGGAAAGAACAGGTGTAGCTACAAGTAATTTACTTTGCTATCTTCTAAAATCTGGTGGTGCTTCTGCCACTTTCAGGGACATCTTTATGAAAAAATATGCCTTCATAACACACTTGGGTTTTTTGGCATAAAGCTCAACTCGGAAAATCTAAACTGTTGAGTAACATCAAGATATAGATACCTGAAAAACAAGCTTAATGTCATTCGCATTTTAGCATGGGTTCTGTGGGCTATATGTGGCCTTGAGGCTGGCAAAATAATAATAACAATTCTCTCCTACATACATTCTGATATAAATGAGTTTGAAATGATTCTTTTTTTAACCATTAAACACCAACAAGGTATATAAACCCCATCTTACAAGAATATAAGTGATTGAAGTTTGGGGGTTGTTGTCACAGAGCCCAGTAGGAATGGTAAGGGTAACTACTTCCAATTGGAATAGTGCTAGCAATATTTTGCTCCCTGCACATCTTGTTCCAGTAATGGGTAACAAGCCTTCACTACCTATACTAAGCCAAGACAAAGCTTGGTCTGGTTCTTGATTTAATGATAAATCACCAGGGAGGTACAACCTCCATCATATCAGATGTATGTGGAAGAGGTTTGTTGACTTATTGAAATAAAACATGGAGGCTAGAAAATCACTCGACTTGATGGGAAGATTCATAGACTTTGTTAAGTTTATCAGACGATCAAGGTTCTGGCTGAGAAGGCCCAGGAGAGACCAATGGAAACGGTTTTGGTATAATACGTCGCCAAGGTCTGGTCAGGATGAGAGGAGTGTACCAAAGAAAGCTGTGTTTATGTATGAATGGAGACACCTAAGTATACCAAGTAAGACATTAGGAGACAAGGTAAGTACTGCCTCTATCGAAATTGGGGAAGAAGTATGGGTGAAACCATCAAACACGCAGTGCATATCGAGGTGGGGGAGAGGCATAGTAACAGATATGCAGTCTCAGAATAATGTATCAGTTGGAGGGATGCCACGGCATGTCCTGGACCTCAGGAGAGTGGTGGATTCTTCAACAGATGAGGAGGAGCCAGAGGAAGCTGGCAAAGATATAATCTTATGATGGTCTCAGAGAGAAACACTAACTGATGTGGATGAAGGATTATATAGAGGGAGAGTCGAGCAAGAAGGATGACGAGCTATGCACCAATTCTTTGTAAATCAATAGTGGGTAGTGAGCTTAACCCACTAATAACGGGTGTCCCACATATCAGACACCTGAAAAAATAAACATTGCCGGGCGTCCCGCCAGTGTGACACTGTATCGGGGATCATGCTCTGACGCAGCAGCGGGCCACGGACCGCGGGCGGACAGTCCGGGGGAACTCCGCCTGCCAATCTTGTAGCCGCCCAGAATCTTTTATTTTCAGCTTCACAATATACCGGCATTAAGCCCCTACACATGTACGTGCATTTGCAGTGAGCAGCGCCACCACCCACAACCCGGAGAACTCGGCTTTAATGGATTAAGATCACGGGGGCATGTGGTATAATTAAAAGGAAATTGGTAGCTTTCAAGAGGGACTGGCAATGATTTGTGCTGTTAGGTTACAAGTCAAAGAAAACGGTGAGTGCTTATTGAGGGATGTGGCATAGAAAACAGGGGTGCTGATGAACTGGCGAGTTGTTAGCAGCCAGAGAGTGTCCGGCGTTGGATAGGAGATGGTGACCTGGATTGGGAGCTCCCGTTGATCAGTGGCTGACTTTTGTGCATTGTTGTAATGTAGCCGACCCCCGCAACCTGCAGCGCTGCATACTTCCCCCAGGTTGGGTCCAGGTCCACAGCCTGTCCTCTCGCACTCACCATCAGCAGCTTCTCGACGACGCATACCGAGACCTGATTGGTTGACCACGGACACCTCACGGCTCGCCCATTGGACCGCAGGCTCCCCTCGTTCCCGGGTGGCTGGCACAGCTCAGACCCACTTAAGCTCCCGCACCCGGGCCGAGTTCATCACTCACGATCCTCCAGCCGAGCAAGACACAGCAGCCAGCAGCACCTAGGCCTACCCAGGCCTTAGCCGACGGGTGAGCCGCCCCAGCTCCCCGACGATCTCCAGCACACCAGCCATACCTGTGGGCACTCACACCCACACACAAAAGCTCCTTAAAGAGATGATTGACACCAGCCTATGGCGGATACCAATCCATTGCCATACTGGTGACTTTCCGGAGTGACACAAATACCCAGCCTTCTGGAGTATCACGGTTATCGCTCGCTCGCTTAGCTCCCTCACTGGAGAGGGAGTACCTGTAGTCGACCCCGCAACCTGCAGCGCTGCATACTTCCCCCAGGTTGGGTCCAGGTCCACAGCCTGTCCTCTCGCACTCACCATCAGCAGCTTCTCGAAGACGCATACCGAGACCTGATTGGTTGACCACGGACACCTCACGGCTCGCCCATTGGACCGCAGGCTCCCTTCGTTCCCGGGCTGACACAGCTCAGACCCACTTAAGCTCCCACCCGGGCCGAGTTCATCACTCACGATCCTCCAGCCGAGCAAGACACAGCAGCCAGCAGCACCTAGGCCTACCCAGGCCTTAGCCGACGGGTGAGCCGCCCCGGCTCTCCCCGGCGATCTCCAGCACACCAGCCATACCTGTGGGCACTCACACCCACACACAAAAGCTCCTTAAAGAGATGATTGACACCAGCCTATGGCGGATACCAATCCATTGCCATAGTAATACCAGAATGTTTGGTTGGTAAAAGATGGAGTGTTGTTTTCTTGTTCGCGATAACGGTGCAGCATTGTGGTTTTAGTTTGTTCTACGGGTTTTGTTAGCACTTGATCTATTGTTTTGGTGTTGGGCACAGCAAGTGGTGGACATCATAGTACAAGGTAAGAAATTTTCATTTGTCTATATCACTGTATTACATGACATCTTTATATTGTTTCCTATATCTAATTGCACTCTTGTGTCACCATATAATTATTTCACTAGTTTCATGCAGTCAAGCAGTTAATAATTACTAATATAATACCCTGTTAACTCTGCATAGTCAATGACAAACCAATACTGGAATTGTGAGTATTGCAACAGCAACAAATGAAATTATGTAATTTAAGAAAAATATATATAGGCTACATACTAACTCTAACACTAAACACCTGAAGACTCACATCTCCAACAGGCTGCTCAAATAATCTTGAACTTTGGTGTGTTAGGGACAGAGAGTAAATATTCACAAAGTACCTAAGATAAATCACAATATAAACAATATACAGAACTGATAGTATAACAAATTTCATTTCAGAAATCTCCAATGCAAATTGGAAATCGTCTAAACACATTATGGCAAGACACCAATGGAACTTATTGTTCATAATATTAAGTAGTTTCTATACCTAAATCTTGTGAAGAAATGTCATGTAGTCATTAGTACAAGAAATTATTTGCAGACACAGATGGTAACGCTACAAATGAAGGAAAAAGATTGCCACCCACAGAACTCAGTCTATTAAGTGCTTCCAAGTTTCAGCCTTATCTTTCCATGCATACCAAGGGGAAGACAATGTTTGCCATGCGGTGTTGGGGAGCAGAGCCCCCATCAGCTATTAGATTATTGCATAAATTTCGTGCTGTGGAATTGGGACTTGGTCTCTGTTGAGTACGTTCATATTGTAAAGAATTGCCATATTTCCTCTTTACCTTTTCCTTTATAGACACTTTCTAGTATAGCACCTGATTCAGTTTACTCTAAACTTTACATCTTTGTTCATTTGTGATTTACAAGGCACAATCATAATTTATTATAATTTAACTTTTGGACATACATGCATTTTCTAGATGAACATTATACTGTCTAAATAACAAACAAATCCAGTGAATCTCTTACTCGGATATATCTCTCAAAAGTTCCAAATAAAAACTTTTTATTTCAATGCATAACAACTATCTTCCCTCTTAACCAGAATCAAAATGACCCTTTCATTTTACTTTACCTGTGAATGGCACAAATCTCTTAGTCACCTACAGTAACACTGATGTCATGTAGAGTCAGGACTTCCCATGCGATTTATTATCAAATATGGGACCGAAATCTTGAGGTAATTTCTTTTAATAGTTCTGCAAACAGGATCCCAACTATACTGGTATTCTCGCATCATCTATGATCCAAATATGTAGGTTCTATTACGAGGAAACCCCCCCTGAAGCAAGGGCTGTTGATTTTTGTTCATTCTGTACACAGAATGCGAATTTGAAGGTAGATTTACCCTACAAAATACATCCCCTAGATAGTGTACCATGCCATAAAATTGCATATGCACTTGTATTTTAGGCTCTAAACTTCATTTCTACTAAGTTTCCTGGTACTCGATCTTTCCACCCTTTGACTACTGGAGCCACCATGGTGGAAACCTGTCTGCTACGGCTATCATTTTTGTTTTTGGCCTTGAAAATCCAGGTCAAGGGCATCCATACTGGAACACATGTTGGCATGAATTTCACCCTGAAATACCAGAGGATAACTATGCATAATTTGTGCTATATTCTCAAACAAGAAGTTATTTGGATTTCAGTAAGCATGAGAAAACATTTATTTTTGTGACAATTACTTCATTGGCATCCTTGGATTCTTCTCATTCTCTAGCTTCTGAATATATGGAAATTACTGCACGGAAATCCCCCAAACCTCCACATTCTTGGCCCTGATAGCAAGGGAGGAAATGAAGGTACCTGGGACATTGCTGGGTAAAATATGTATAGTCTACATAGAACATGTGCATAGACAATTTTCTGGTGTGTTAGGATATCCAGAGTTATTTTGTAGGGTAAATCAATCTTCAAATTCAAACATTTTGTACAGAATGAACAAAATTCAACTGGACAAAAACAAGGTGATTTGAGACATTTCCAATTTCAAAATAACAGCAACTCTGCCTGAATTAACCCCTTGCTACCGGGTGGCAATGGCTGTTGTGGACAGAGGAGCGGATGGCACCATATCACAACCATTCCCACGCCATTGGCTCATCAGACGGAGCTTGTTTTTCTCCAATATCAGCAGCTTCATTTATACAAAAAAAGCTTTTAGGCAACAGCACAAAAAGTGAAGGCAAACCTTCAAATTTATATTATTAAAAATCATAGCAAAATGAAAGCTATTAGGTGCCAAATGTTGCTCGCAAACTACCGAACGAGCCAGGCACAAACAGGGAGGAAATTATTGATGCATGTAAACAATCCCGCGATCATGTCCACTTGCCAAACTTTTTTACCCGGGGTGAATGGGTTAAGCAGTCCTAGCTTCAGCAATACCGTATTTTGGTATAAAGGCAGTGTGATGGGTGGAAAAAATGAAGACGTCATCGCAACAGTTGCGATCAACACTCACATAATAACAAATGCTCAAGTACCTACATACTATGATGCAATGTTTGCTGGGGGAGTGTTGGGGGCCGAGCCCCCTATCAACTCTCCCCTCGGGCAGTGCCCAAAGCCCACGCCCAGTCACAGCAATTTAATTTCTTGAATAAAACTTGTGACATGCACCTGCCTGTCCATCTAGTAAAGAATTATCAAAATACTAAAGAATCTTCCCAAAAATCAAGGAACAGGGTAAACAGGTGAGCCAGATAGAAAATGACTCATTGGTGATTAAGCACTCGTGGGAGCCTTCTACAAGTAAAATCAATCAAAAGGACAAAAAGACACAGTCACCATGGCATGCATTCTCGCTATCCCGTCAATATTGGGTGAACATTTATTTAGAAAATCTGGGTCTGACTGAAAAAATCAACTTTTCTATATTTTGCCTCATCATATATTATGTTGTAATGGATTCCCACAAATGTTAGAGACAAAAGAAAACAATACACTATACTATTTCTTTTTGTCAACCTCCCTTTCCTTGCTCTCTCATTGCACTGTATTTCAAAATGTAAGGAAAAGAGATTAACTGATAATTTCCTCTTAGTAGCCAAATCCACATTTGTTAAATCCACAATTCTATGGGAAAAAATATAAACATAATAATCCAAATACACTTACAACATTATCCTGCAAAATTCTAAGTCATCAGCTGTATACGGTGGTGACTACATTAACGACAGCAACAGTCTAATTAGCTTAATTAACTCGAGATACCAAAGAGGTTCCCTTCACCCTCTTGGAAAGCGATGGCTGAGCCGAACCCCACCTGCCTGGCCTCTCAAACAACCTGAAACAGAACTCTTAGCATCTCTTTTCAACGGCTGAGTTACGCAGAAGAAACATACCGGTAGCACATGCTGTAACAGCTGTAGGCTTGTGGGCAGTGACAACATAATTATAAGCCGCTGTAGCCATTTCGGTTTGTGTTGTTTACATCACGCTCTCGTGCGGGAACAACGTACAGCCTCGGCGCTATGTGGAGCTTACTTCAGGGTTGCGTTGTGTGGAGTCGTCGCCTATTTTGCAATTAAATGCTCACTCTTTTTTAAGTAATGGATATTTCATAAAACAAGAAATAGGAATATGAATTCAAGTTGGGTTAAAAGTTTGATAGATGCCACTCATAAT